GATTCACCGTCGATATTGAACAAGCCTTCAACCAATGATTGTGGATCCATTTGTGAGGAATTGATAATATATGAACTTGAATGAAGATGAAATGACAAATAAATATGTAGAAATTGGATAATTGTAATTTGTAGGTATGTAAATTGTAAAGACATTGTGTATAAAATATAGGTATAGATAATAGAATATGTATTGTACAATGTATGTGTGTTTGTATTATAAATTTATTGTAAAGCAAGTAATTATGAGTATGTGAAGAGAGTAAAATGTAAGAATATAATGAATATTGAAATTTAAGGTAGTAGAATGTAGAGAGTAAAAATTGTTGTTGAAGTGTAAAAAAAAAAGTGTTAAGGTGGTAAGTATTTATAGATGTAAAAAAATAAAAATATTAGGGCCTAATAGACATAATTAATAGTTCAGTGAACTATCTACAACGACCAAAACGATTGCTTGATTTTGAAAAGTGATCATTTTGGTTACTATAGCAACGAGCCAAGAGCTCAAGCTTGCCCCAGGCTCGCTCCTGGGCAAGCTCATCGAGCGCCTACCACACGAGCAGCTCGCCTCGTGGGATCGAGCCAAGCATTTACGAGTTGAGCGACCGTGCCAACGAGCATGGCCAATTTGACATTCCTACCCAAATGATATACTAACATGCTGGGAAATAGTGTTGGTGATATGATGACTGTCTTAGAACACTTCTTCATAAATATTTTGGGGTTTTAGAAATAACACTCGAGTCGGGCAGCAAAGTCGATGATCATTAGGAGTGTATATTGCATGTGAAGAAGTATATTTATACCTGATGCAGTTTGACACCATTGAGTTAGATGCTTGTTGATGATATCCTAAAATAATGTTCATCGAGCATGTATAACCATTACAAATTTTCTTGATCCTAAACATTTTCGTTTCTCCTAAGCGAGAAGATCTAAATATCTACTTGCAATTGTCATACGAGCACTTTATCACGTACTCCTTCTTGTCTGATCTCAACACCTTATATTCAAATTTATTTTGTATGACATAGAAGGCCAAGCTCATTTTCAGTATTTCCTTATTGCGAAAAATATTTCCCTCCACTACTTGTTTAACATGTGCTTCAGTTTCCTTTCTCAATAGTCATAACCGAGTCACAAATATCTTGAGATATTTGTTGTAAAGAACACATATTAGCTTATGACTCAACGGAAGTAGTCAACGAATCTGGGCATTGCAATGCAATGCACATGTTGACTGCCATGAATTTGCAGTGATAAAATCAACTATAATAGGATAATTTGATACAATCCCATCTAAAGATTTCAATCTCAAATACGTTAAGACATTATTATTGCTTAGTATTCAGACTAGAGGTGAAATAGAATCCAAAGAATATGTTAATCTCACAGCTACTTCTACATGAGTAAGCCCTAATTTTGAAATAACAAGGGCAACCAATGCATCATACTTGAACGTATCATTCACTAGTATAATTGACGTGTAACCTCCGTATAACAGGCAAACGTGCAAAATTTCCATCCCTGATTACACACAGATAATAGCATGTCAAGCTTCATGAGTTAATAACCTAAATGGTCACTAAACTTTACAAAACGTTTTTTACGAGATCACTGAACTTTAAAAATCACACAAATCATCAGTGAACTTAGCAAAAGATTTTTATGGGGTCACTGAACTTTACAAAAGGCTTCCACGGGGACATTGAACTTTAAAAATTATCTCATTCATCACTAAAGTTCGGTGACCCCTGGGAAAGTTTTTCCAAAGTTCAGCGACCTCGTGGGAATTTTTTGAAAAGTTTAGTGATGAATCGAGTAATTTTTGAAATTTAATGACCCCGTATAAACCTTTTTGCAAAGTTCAGTAATAATTTAGGTGATTTTTAAAGTTCAGTGATCCGGTGAAAACTTTTTTGTAAAGTTTAGTAACCATTTTGATTATTAACCCCAGGCTTCATTCATTAAAATCAGGAAACATTCATATGCAAGCATTGATCACTATAGGCTATATAAGTTATTTAATGTAAATATATTTACATACAGTCAACAAATATAGGGTCACAAAGAGCTAATTTTCAATGCAATAACATTGATGACAGATTAAACGAATTTTATTTATGGACTATCAAGACATTTAACATATATGTCATAATTTGTTTAATTTGGTACTAGTCACAGTTAACAAAAACATGTATTAATTTGAATGAATCACATAAACATTCACAGATAGTCACAAATCAGTGTGTTCATAACTGTAAATTGAAAATAATAAATGCATACTATCAATGGTCAATGAGAAAACACACGTCACACACTGGACAAAATATAACTTATTTTTAATAGGGAGAAATCTCTGATCATGATTAAATAAATGTTTCGTTAAATTCGAAAACTTCAATGTCTTCAAAATCATAAGCTTATAGGAAGTTATTATAAGCTTACCTTCAAAATCAAATCACAGAACTTTGATTTTTGTTTCTAGTAAATCCAATTCTTCCATAGTCGAGCTTCAACTTCTCCAAAACAATGAAAATCAGAAGTATGTCAATAAGATTGTGACATTATTAATCGATTGTAGTTTAAAATCGAGGATTAACGATAAAATTTTCGTGATTTTGGAGAGTTTTCTCGATCACAGACTTCAATTTTTGCATAGGGAAAATCCAATTGCTCCATATCCTAGCTTCGACTTCTCTGGAACAATGAAAATCAAAAGTCTGTCAATGGGATTGTG